CTTATGTAGATGCACTTGTGCCATGTTTTTCTGATTTTTCCACCTTCCAGTCCTACACCATCTCCTTCTTATGTCACTCACTCCCCTATTCCTACTGCCTCATCTTCATCTAGTGAACCTATTTTGGATATTCTTTTTATAAAATCCTCAAGGCCACATAATCCCCCTGCCTACCTCAAGGACTACATTTGCAATATTATTCAATTAACTGATGTAAGTGGTTCTTGTTTCCTTTCACTTGTCACACCTTCTAGTTTTTCTTTCAATGACCTGTCTACATCCAACCAACATCTCCTCAATTCCTTTTTCACTATCCAGGAACCAACTAGCTATACCCAAGCAACCCATCACCCAGGTTGGCAGGAAGCAATGGAAAGGGAGATAGAGGCACTTGAGCTCAATCACACCTGGGAGGTCATGGAGCTACCCCCAGTTAGAAAGGCATTACCCTGCAAGTGAATGTATAAAGTGAAGCATAACTCTAATGATAGTGTGGAAAGGCTCAAAGTTAGGCTTGTAGTTAGAGGGGATATTCAAAAGGAAGGGATATACTTCAATGAAACATTTTTTCACTGGTGAAAATGACTACCATCAGATGTATTCTAGCTACATCAGCTAAGAAAGGTTGGGAAATTTTTCAGTTGGATGTGAATAATGCATTTCTGCATGGGGATTTAAATGAAGAGGTGTACGTGAAATTTTCAATTGGGTTCACACCTCCCTCTCCTACACGTGTTTGCAAGTTAAGGAAATCACTTTATGGGCTTCGTCAAGCATCCCAACAGTGGTATGCTAAACTAACAGCAGCCCTTAATTTTAAAGGTTTTTTCCATTTTCTAAATAATTATTCCCTATTTTTTAAAAGGTCTGACTTCTCTATCTCTATAGTAGCCGTCTATGTCGATGACATACTCTTGACAGGAATAATTTATAGGAGATAAATGCTTTGAAATTATTTCTACATCAGGAATTCAGAATAAAGGATTTAGGGAACTTACATTATTTTCTTGTAATAGAAGTACTGCGTGAACCTGAGGGACTAATTTTGACTTAGCAAAAATTCACCCTTGATTTGTTGTTGGAATTTGATTGCCTTCACAAACCATATGTCTCTTGCCCACTTGATCCCACCATCAAATGGTTAGCTAAATCTGGTGATCCCATCAAAGAGTCGACCTTGTATCGATATTTATTGGGAAAGTTGAACTATTTAACTCATACAAGGCCAGACCTTTCCTTCACTGTGCAACATCTAAGCCAATATATGCAGGATCCACGGGTTCCTCACATGCAAGAAGCCCTTCGTGTTCTTCGATATTTATCAAAGGATCCTGGTTATGGCTTGTTTATGTCTTCTTCTCCTTCATATCAGTTGTTGGCTCTCTATGACTCCGATTGGGGAACGTGCCCAAAATCGCATAAATCTATCAGTGGTTTCTACATATCGCTTGGATCTTCTCCTATTTCCTGGAAATCCAAGAAAAAAACCTCAATTCCTCTCAGCTCTGCAGAAGCTGAGTATCGCTCCATGCGGCGTGTAGTCGCCGATCTCACCGGTTAGTCAGACTCTTTGATGATTTGTCTATTCCTATATCTCTTCCAGTACCTCTTCACTCTGATAGCCAAGCTGTGATTCACGTAGCTAAAACCCTCATCTTTCACGAAAGAACGAAGCATGTGGAGCTTGATTGTCATTTTATTGATCAGCAGTTCATAGCGATTTTGATTTCTCTCTCATTTGTTCGCTCCTCTTCTCAACTCGCCGATTTGTTCACAAAATCTCTTACTGGCCCATTTCATCACCAATTGTTGGGAAAGTTGGTAGTACTTTCATCCCTCTCCAACTTGACAAGGGGTGTTGGTGATGAAAATGGCAACAATGGAGGTTCTCAAATTAATCTCGAAGGTTCTAAGGAAGGAAAGAGGTTAGGTTAGATTTGACCAAAGTATGTCTGAAGGATGTTATGTCTGAACCATATAACATATGGGTTGGAAAGTTTTGGGCTCCAGCTATTTCATTTCATTTTGGGCTTTTCGTCTTGGGCCTACGAGAAGGCTGTGGAAAGAAGATTCAGAATTTAGGTTGTAATTATTATTTTTTGCTTATTTGTATTTATCTTCTAATTTGTTATAGCTTAGCTAATAGTTTAGGTACACGTAGCATAAGCCGTTACTTTTACATTAAGTGATGTGGTGGAAGGTAACTCTAGTTTTCCAACCTATTTCACTAAGATGAAAGGATTGTGGGATGAGCTAGATGCACTCAATACATTTTTTGCTTGTGTGTGTGTGTGCGATTATGAAGCTACGGCAAAGAGTATGAAGGCTCATCAAGATGAAAGACTTTTGCAACTCCTTATGGGTTTGAATGAAACCTTTATAGGAGTTAGGAGCAACATATTGTTGTCCTCTCCTTTACCTTTCATTGGGCAGGCATGCTCTTTGTTCATACAGGATGAAAAATAAAGAGAAGTTCATGTTGTACCTGCTTACCCAGGAGAGTCGGGTTCCTTCATGGTTGTTAACCAAGCAGGTGGAAAGAAGTATGGTCATTTGTGCTTATTTTAAGAAGCCAGTACATAGCATTGATAAGTGCTATAAAATCCATGGATTCCTTGCAGACTTCAAATTCACAAATCCAGAGAAATTTCAGGGACCAATTCAGGTAAACAATGTTCTAACCTCAAATGAAGAAGGAGAACAGGGAACTGGAATCTTAGAAGGAAAATTACTTACCCAGAAGAATGTAACTCACCTACTTCAGCTTCTTCAACAGTTGCAGATGGGACAGCAGGGAGCCAGTACTTCTGATGGTGCTGCAAATGCCAACTGTGCTGGTATACCCAAATTCTTTAAATCGCCTGCATGTTTTTTTTCAAATCAATAGTCATTCATAGATGCTGGATAGTGGTGCTTCAGAACATATGTCTTATAACAAGAAATTCTTTTCTAATCTCAAACTTTTAATCAAGCCTGGAATAGTCAATCTTCCTAATTCTTAGAAAGTATTAGTTATTCATTATGGATCAGTATCTCGTTTCTCTAATATGGTATTACACAATGTGTTGTATATACCTTCCTTTAAGTACAATCTACTGTCTGTGCACAAATTGTATAAGCAGCTTGGTAACCCACTCTTTTTTACTTCTACTTCTTGTTTTCTGCAGGGCCCTTCACTGAAGAGCCCTCTGAAGATTGGTAGGGAGAGAAGTGGACTTTGCATTCTTCAATCAAGGCCAACATCAGCCATTCCCAAGTTTTTGTTACATTCCAATAGTAGTTTTGTATCTAGAAAGAAATTAAATGAAAGACAATTTGTTCTAGTTTTACATTCTTGTTTTAATTCTTCAGATCCCTATGAAAAAGAAAAGTGGTGGCACTATAGACTAGGCCACATTCCTTTGAGTAATATGAGAAATATATCTACTATTCCTGTTTCTTCTTATTCAAAAGTTTATGTGCCTTGTGCTGTTTGTCCTGTGGCTAGATAGTCTAAATTCATTTTTCCCACTAATTCTATTTCCACAAAGAAAGTTTTTGAGCTAATTCACATAGACACATGGGGGGGAAGGGGCTATATCAACCAAACTTATGATGGTTACAAATACTTCTTATAATTGTTGATGACTACAGTAGAGAAATATGGACTTATCTACTAAGTACAAAATCAAATGCATTTCTAGTCCTCAATAGGTTAAGACAATAAGATCAGACAATGTTTTGAATTAGGGAGTGGTAGTTTGCAAGTCTAATTTCTTTTCTTCACAAGAAATAGTGCATTAGACTACTTGTGTAGCTTCTCCACAATAGAATGGGGTTGTGGAGAGAAAACACAAGCATCTTTTAGAGACATCTCGAGCCCTGCTTTTTCAGTCACATCTGCCTATTGCTTATTGGAGAGATTGTGTTCTAACTGCTACATAACTGATAAATAGATTTCCTTCCAAGGTTCTTTCTTACAAAATACCCTATGAGATCCTTTTCAAATCCAAACCTAGTTACTCTAATTTGAGGTGTTTTGGCTATCTATGTTTTGTTTCCACACTATCAAATCACAGAACAAAGTTTCAACAAAGGGATATACCTTGTGTTTTCTTAGGTTATCTACATGGAAAGAAGGGGTACAAAGTTCTCAACCTTAGGACTCTAAAGCCTTTTGTTTCTAGAGATGTTGTCTTTCATGAAGAATTCTTCCCTTTTTCCTCCATCAAATTCAAGGAGTCAGTTGACTCTTTTTTACATACTGCACTTATGTCTAGTTCTCCTAGTTTCTCCCCTGATTTACCTCAAACTATATCTGAACATTCAGACATGCCTTATGTAGATGCACTTGTGCCATATTTTTATGATTTTCCATCTTCCAGTCCTACACCATCTCCTTCTTATGTCACTCACTCCCCTATTCCTACTGCCTCACTTTCAGCTAGTGAACCTATTTTGGATATTCTATTTAGAAAATCCTTAAGGCCACATAATCCCCCTCCTTACCTCAAGGACTACATTTGCAATGTTATTCAATTGACTGATGTAAGTGGTTCTTGTTTCCTTTCACCTGTCACACCTGCTAGTTTTTCTTTCAACGACCTGTCTACATCCAACCAACATCTCCTCAATTCCCTTTTTACTATACAAGAACAAACTAGTTATACCCAAGCAACCCATCACCTAGGTTGGCAGGAAGCAATGGAAAGGGAGATAGAGGCACTTGAGCTTAATCACACCTGGGAGGTCATGGAGTTACCCCCTGTTAGAAAGGCATTACCCTGCAAATGGGTATATAAAGTGAAGCATAACTCTGATGAGAGTCTGGAAAGGCTCAAAGCTAGGCTTGTAGTTAGAGGGGATATTCAAAAGAAAGGGATAGACTTCAATAAAATATTTTTCCAGTGGTGAAAATGACTACCATCAGATGTATTCTAGCTACAAAGGTTGAGGAATTTTTCAATTGGATGTGAATAATGCATTTCTGCATGGGGATTTAAATGAAGAGGTAGGTGTACATGAAATTTTCATTTGGGTTCACACCTCCCTCTTCTACACGTGTTTGCAAGTTAAAGAAGTCACTTTATGGGCTTCGTCAAGCATCCCGACAGTGGTATGCTAATCTAACAGCAACCCTTAATTTTAAAGGTTTTCCCCATTCTCTAAATGATTATTTTCAATTTTTTAAAAGGTCTGACTCCTCTATCTCTATTGTAGTTGTCTATGTCGATGACATACTCTTAACAGGAAATAATTTAGAGGAGATAAATGCTTTGAAAGTATTTCTACATCAGGAATTCAGAATAAAGGATTTAGGGAACTTACATTATTTTCTTGGAATGGAAGTACTGCGTGAACCTGAGGGACTAATTTTGACTCAGCGAAAATTCACCCTTGATTTGTTGTTGGAATTTGATTGCCTTCACAAACCATCTGTCTCTTGCCCACTTGATCCCACCATCAAATTGTTGGCTAAATCAGGTGCTCCCATCAAAGACCCGACCTTGTATTGACATTTATTGGGCAAGTTGAACTATTTAACTCATACAAGGTCGGACCTTTCTTTCACTTTGCAACATCTGAGCCAATGTATGTAGGATCCATGGGTTCCTCACATGCAAGCAGCACTTCGTGTTCTTCGATATTTATCAAAGGATCCTGGTCTTGGCTTGTTTATGTCTTCTTCTTCTTCGTATCAGTTGTTGGCTTTATGTGACACCGATTGGGGAACGTGCCCAGAATCACGTAAATTTGTCAGTGGTTTCTACATATCGCTTGGATCTTCTCCTATTTCTTGGAAAACCAAGAAAAAAACTTCAATTTCTCTAAGCTCTGCAGAAGCTGAGTATCGCTCCATGCGGCGTGTAGTCGCCGAACTCACCGGTTAGTCAGACTCTTCCAGTGCCTCTTCACTCTAACAGCCAAGAAGCGATTCACATAGCTAAAAACCTCGTCTTTCATGAAAGAACGAAGCACGTGGGGCTTGATTGTCATTTTGTTCGTCAGCAGTTCATGGCGGGTTTGATTTCTTTCTCATTTGTTCGCTCCTCTTCTCGGCTCGCCGATTTGATCACAAAATCTCTTACTGGCCCATTTCATCACCGATTGTTGGGCAAGTTGGGAGTACTTTCATCTCTCTCCAACTTGAGAAGGGGTGTTGGTGATGAAAATGGTAACAATGGAGGTTCTCAAATTAATCTCAAAGGTTCTAAGGAAGAAAAAGGGTTAGGTTAGATTTGGACCAAAGTATGTCTGAAGGATGTTATGTTTGAACCATATAACATATGGGTTGGAAAGTTTTGGGCTCCAGCTATTTTATTTCGTTTTGGGCCTTTCGTCTTGGGCCTACGAGAAGTCTGTGGAAAGAAGATTCAGAATTTAGGTTGTAAATATTATTGTTTGCTTATATGTATTTATCTTCTAGTTTGTTATAGCTTAGCTAATAGTTTAGGCACACGCAGCATATGCCGTTATTTTTAGATTCCATTCTTGTTGTATATAAACACAATTTGTACAGTGCACAATCATTCAATACAGAAAATTAGTCAATCTTCTTCCTATTTTGTCAACAACCTCATCAGTCAAAAGTGGGAAAAAATCTCACACATCCTTTATTATCCCACATCCAAACATCCTCTAGCTCCCTCACTGGCCTAACCAATCCTTCTGGAACATCACAACTACTCTCCTCTATACGCTCACAGCATACATTAACATACCCAAGAACTGAATCAACTAAACCCTTTACCTCTCTCTCAAATTCCTTCTCTTTCTTAGCTTTCAAACCCATTGCCAACCTAAACACATTATATATAACGGGTGCAATTAAGAAAATGCTTTTAAAAGGATTACATGAAGCAGAACAAGAAACTATAAGCTGAAACAAATCTTTTATGGCTGCAACTCTTTTAAAAGGGTGATTTTCTGGTGAGCTGAAGCCACGAAAAAGTAGAGCTGAGTAAAACCAAATGGTTTCAAAAGGTGGGTTGGCTCTACATTGTAGTAATTCGTCGAAATTTGAACTCAAAGATGACAACTTTTCAGAGTTTGGCGAGTCCACTACCGCTTGAATTAGATTACTTAGTGCAACTTCATAGTTTTGGCCAAGGATATTACTGCAAACTCTAGGCTTTATGGATTCCATATGAACTGAAACCATAATTCAAAGCCTTTGAATGAAAATCTAAAACCTTAATTAATCAGAAAACCCAGAAGTATAAGGGAACTAGTGTAATTGCTTGCGCATCGCGCCGACATAAAAAAATTTCCTTACAAATTTAACAATCATGCATTTATTGGAAGAAAAATGAAAAACACAAAAACAATTGACGTACATAAGTAAATTACACATAGAGACATTAGGACCAACATTTAGTTTACAATATTTGTTCCTACCAAGGAAATGAATTCCACAATACACAAAAAGCAGAACTATCATGCTAATAAGCATAAATGTTATAGATTTGCTGTAGAGTAAGAAAGAAATATGGAGAAAAAGGAAGGATAAATTTCACAAATTATCATATAACTATGACTTTTTTTCATCAAAGTCATATAACAATATTTTCTTACACAAAAATCATAATACTTTTATTAATTCACACAAAAATCATAGTGGCCTAAAAATACAATTTTTCAATAGTATTTTTTTATTCCACGATTTTTTGTTTTCTATTTTCTGTCTAATAAATAGTAATCGAATTAAAATAGGAAAGATCCAAACCAACCCGACCTAATACCCATATTATCTATAATTCAAATAATACTAAAAGTGAATCCTTCAAACATGATACTTGTATCTTTTATTTTTCTTTTCAAGATTTTCATTCAAATTTATAGCATTTTTGTTTCAAGTGCTCTCTAATTATACCTTTTATATTTATTTTTTTTATTTTTTTGTCAGAATCTCATGCATTCCCAACTAAACTTTCGTGGAGGGGGGGGG